CCAGGCCAGCGGCGCCGGGCCCCGGCAGCCCGCCGCGCCCAGGGAGCGGGGGCAGCAGGCAGCGGGGTGGGCTCCGGGAGGCTGCAGGGGACACAGCCCCGCGTCAGCACACACCGCAGCCCTGTACCGGCAGCGCACGCCGGAGCGCAGGGCTGAGCAGCTGTGCAAAACGAGTAAACAAAGTGCAGCCAAAGGGGAGCAGAAGAGGCAGGCAAAGCGCCGGGCAGGTGCTGCGGGAGCCCGACCACCCCGGCTCCCTCTGCCCGGGAAGGAGGGTAGGGACTGGTGCCAGAGGCAGCTGCAGAGTGGGGTGCAGAGAAAAAAAAAAGAAAAAAGAAAAAAAAGAAAAAACAACATTTCTGTGCTGTGCAAAAGACACTTTGTACAATTCAAACAGAACAAACTCCATGCACATGAATGGGGCTACAGAACACCCCAAGCCAGGACCCGGCTCCCCGGCACCACCTGGCAAAATCCCAACAAAAACAGGGCTGGAAATAATACTGATGCACAAAGTCCCCTTTAATAGGCGGGCAGGGAGGATTGTCGCTGAGCCCAGCCACGGCACATGCAGGATGAGCTTCCAAGCACTGCAGCTGGGGTCTTGCTGATGCCCTACAGTGATGGACAGACACAGAGGGGTCACAGGCAACAAAGCCGCACTGGCCGCCTGGGAGCCGAGGGGTGCTAAGATGACACAGTTACTGCCGTCAGGGCTCCATTCCGGGTGTAGTAGAACTTGCTGAATGCCTCTTCAAGTAAACAGGTAAGTCTGCTCTGGTCAGCCTGGGAAGAACAAGCTAGAGTGAGGGGTAGGCCCAGTCCGTGCAAAGCTAAGAGCCTGGCTGAAGCCTGCCAGGGCACATGGGCAGGGACACGTCTTATTTCTCTGACCTCCCCAGCTAGAAAAGGACTGGTCTCGCATAAACCATTTAAGCTTGGGAAAGGAATGCAGACCTATATTCCCTACCTGAGCCCCAGGCCTGCTTACCTCACTGATGAATCCAAGCTGGACCAGTTCAGCTGCCAGCTCCTGGATGTTGTCATCTGCAACACAGGGACGGGTGTAAGTCCCAGGTCTGAGTGCACTGCTGGTACCAGCGCACCAGAGCACGGGAAGAAAAGTACTTACTGGGCTGCAGGTCACAGCTCAAGTGTCGATTCAACTTGTCTTCCAGTTTCAGCAGCAGTGTTAACTGCGGGGTAGAAAAGTTCTCATGAGGGACTGCCTGGTGGCTGCAGCCAGGAGCGTCCCCAGAAATCCCCATCAGGATAGGAGCCACCCCCCCCCAGAGCCCCACAGGAGTCTAACCGAACCACCACATCCAGTTCCATTCCAAACCACAACCAGCAGCACCATCCTGCGGAGGAAGCCTGAACCTGGGGGTGGGCCGAAAACATTTGCTACATGCCAGGTCAGCCACACGCCCAGGCCTGGCTCTGGCTTTGGGCCCCAAAGACGGCAGCTATGGCAGCAGAGGGTCACACCAGGCACCACCAGCACATCAGCATGCTGGAGCCACACGCTCTGCACAGCTGCCCTGGTACACCCCCACACAGCATGCTCAGCAGAAGATGGGAACATACATGGTGCTTCACTCCCTCCTCTACTGACTCAATGTTGCACTGCATCAGCACCACCTGAAACAGGAACAGAGACACCCCGTGACTGACTGCCGCTGCACAGCACAGCTGCCTGGGGAGGGGAGGAATGGAGCTCCCATCTCTCACCTTGCGGGTCTCCACCTCAGCAGGCTCTGGAGTCGGGGTTTTCACTGATGGTGGAGCAATGGGAGACTTCACCACTACTTGCTGGGGCTGCTGGGGTCGCGGCATCCCAAAAGCTGTGAGTGGGTAGATACCATTCCTACAAGAAAGGAGCAGGGTCTGAGGTTATGCCTCTCCTACATTTTTCCAGTCTTACACACAGTTAAAGTTGCCCTTTAAAAAAACCGTCTTACCTTACATCCTCCAGGAACTTGTCCAGCTCCAATGCCGGAGATTGTGAGAAGCTGGGGGGCAAAAAAAAAAAAAAAAAAAAAAAGAACTGGGGACAATTTTGCACCCTCTCTGGGAAAGGAAATCAAATCAACTCTACCCCCCAGGAACTTGTCCACCCCCAATCCCGGGGATTGGGAAAACGGGGGGGGAAAAAAAAAAAAAAAAAAAAAAAAGTACTGAGGTGAGAAGTCATCTAACAGAACCATCCACTCAAGTCTCTTTGGGTGCAATTTCAAATCCCCATGTCCTAGACTACAGCCGTGTCAGCGGGCAGGATGAGTGCAGACAGAGGCAGCCAGCCAAAGGCGAGAGAGGCTCTAATCTAATCTTCCTGTACAGGAAGCAACTATTCACAGAAGCTAAGGATGAGGCAACATTTTAATTATGGCAGAACAGGTATCACCTCCCTGAAGAGAGCTGTCCAGTGCAAACAATGGTTTGGAAGCCAGCCCAATAACACCACGTTCCTAGGAAGGTTTTTCAAAGACATCTGTTATACCAGACCCATGAAGCCCGCGTCCCGTCTCCAGAAGAGCAAGGGCACTCAGCACTGCAAAGGCAAGAACTTCTGCAGCAGCTGATGGCACACTATGACCAGCCATATCACTCCAGACCAGAAACTACACCTCAGGCTTTAATGCCCTGCCCAAATATCCTCCCTCACTGGAGTTTGGGACACTTTTGTTCTCTCTGTAATTTCTTTCCCAGATTGCTCATTCAGCTTAGTGGCTTCTTAATCTAGTGTCTCAGAGGAAGTCATCCTACCAATTCATTTTTAGTTCCCCAGCCTCTAATTCCATTGAACATCTTCCTTGGTGGTGGCTGATGGGAGTACAGTAAGCACTCACAATCCCTCCCCTTTGTGCCGTAACTTGTCATACGTCTACTGCTCTTCCTCTTTCTCACCCTCAAGAACATACAGTTCCTCCGTGTGGTGACAATGATTTCCAGCCCCTTGGTGAAGTCAGCTCACTGATCTGGTCCAGGGCTGTTCACAAAGGTTGCCACTTTGTACATGTACATTGTACAGGTAACGTCTTTAGAGACGTCACTCAAATACCATAACCTTCTCTCCCATTCTTTGGCACCCTGATGATCATATTTACTCTCATCTATAGCTGCACAGCAGTGTGTTTACAACAAGCTGGAAATAGTCTTTTCCTGTGATGATACTTCACAGCCTTCTCAGACAGAGCAGCAGTTTGTTTTTCTCTAAAGCAAGCTGTTATTGTCTTTTGCACGGCACAGGGAATTAGCAACACCAGAATAGTCCACAGCAAGTACCTCATTTCTTTCTGGTTCTGACTAACAAGGAGACACGGGTTGTCCTACTCTACTAATTCCCCAGTAAAACACGTTCCTCGTCAACCTTAGTCAATTCAGCTTTTTAGCGTCTGCTTCTTTTAGACTGGTTGCAACAAAAACTCTGAACTGCCAGTCTCCTCCATACCACTGTCTTAAGACTGCTTTGAAGAATTTCAGAGATTAGCCAGAGACTGCAAGCTGCTCAAATCCTGCCATAATCTTCCCCAAGTGCTTTGCTGTTCCATCCGAGCTGGTGTAGGCTGCACATCTGCCTCAGTTCCCCAGACCACTCTCCAGCCCTTTTCAGCACACACAACCTCCGTTACTTTCCCACCCTCTAGAACAGTAGTAGTTTTCAGCAAAAAATTTACAATTTTTTCTAGCAGCTTAGTTTGCATGGCACTCTGATGAAACATCTGGAAATGATGCTCTCTGACATTTCAAGTCATTACTGTGCTTTCTTTTTCCTTTTCCAGCACCTCTGAGGTACTGCACTACCAAAAGGCAAGTCCCAGGCTAGCATATGCCAGATAGCCAATCCTCTGCAGACCAATATATGTAAAGAATCTCTTGCACGGCTTTGGCTATTCACTCTTTGTCCTCCATTTTGAACCTTTAATTAACAAAGCACATTCCAAAGGGAATTCAATACT